AATAAATGATGTAGAGTTCTTTGTTATAGTATAATTCATGTTGTAAAATACATTGTAGCTTGATAACAGGTGAAACTTCAAAATGAACAGTTTTTTTGTGTTTACGTTGTGTTTAATGTTTTAGGGCTATTATATAATTTATCATGTAAAAGTAATGTTATTATTAGGAAAACATAGGCCTGTTCTATGTACTTACAGTGAAAAATTGACAGTTTACCTTAAATTATGAGGCATTACAGAGGCTGTTGAGAGGAAGTTTACCGCCCCGAAAAAAAAAATCTGCTCGTTTTTATTTTTTCTAAACATATTGGGAAAAATTATCAAAAATCCAAGAAAATTAGTTTCTTCCTTAGATTCTTGACAAAAATTACATGTACAAATATTTTTTTCTATCTCATCATGAAAAAAATGGACTCTCAGCAAAACCGAAAAGTCGATGTTTTGTGGTTTTTTGAGACCAACTTTACGCCATGACTTACAAAAAAATTGTTTGCACATGAATTTTCTTTAGAAAATAAGAAATCTTTTTCAAAATTTTTTTTTAGAAAAAATCGAAACGTAATTATTTTTTCGTAGTGGGAAGCTTTCCCTTAAGGCTTGACTTTTATCGGGCAATGTTGGAACTGAATGCAATAAATAACAATATCTTGTTTCTGAAAAACATTAGGTTTTTTCGAACACATTCGTAGATCTGTTATCAGAATGAACTCAGTATACGGGTCCTCGGGAAGTCCACTGTAAGTTCCGGAATATCCGTAAAAGTAGTCAATTCATGAAACTAGGTTCTGACTTCTGTACGATGAATTTTCTGTTTCTGGCAATTTTGGCAAGCTGATCGAAGCCTACACGGAGATAAAAAACTACCCAAAATTAAGTACTTTTCCCTCAATTCCCGGGTTCAGCCCAATAATCCAAATTTGAGTAAATGGCATAAAGTAGTTTCCATTTAACACCAGCAAACAAAATAACTTACTTTTAAGTATATTCTACCCAAAATGAAGTTTAATTCACGTAAATTTGAGAATATGCAATTTACTCAAAAGTAACTTATTGGGCTGAACTATATCGTTGGATCGAATCTCTCGTTCCATTTTTGACAACAATAACGAGGGTAAGTGAGAGATTCAACTCAAAATTAAGTAAAAAGAACTCAAATTTTGGGTAGTATTTTTTCTCCGTGTGAGCAGCTAAATTTGAAGTTCTCTCACTATGCCGCGCTAGTGTACATGTGAATTTCCTGTACCTATAAGTAATATCTTGATATCCTGATCATCTAACATCTAGGAAGTTGCTGTTTTCGGCAAACTTGTTCAAGTTATCAACGCTTTTTGGATGGTACACAAATTAGTTCACAATTTTCTCACAACGCGGTCACTACTAATCTGGCTCCCATCCAGAAGGTTTCAAACACCTGAACGATTTTTCCGAAGATAACAACTTCTTAGATCTTTTGTTTTTATCAAGAGATTTTCAGCCTCGGACAACTTGTTAGATGATCAGGACATCAACGTGAAATTCACATGTACACTAGCGCAACGTAGTGAGAGAATTCAAAACTAATCTGTCTATAGTTTTGAAGACCTGGATCAGCTGAACAACTTTCCCCAAGACGGAAACTTCTAATATTTATCAAGATCTGGAGATATATTTTATATAGGATATCGACTTGCACATTTGCGCCGCATACTACTGTTCTCTAAACAATCGATCTCGATCCACTGTACAACTTTGCCCAACATGATTTTTGTCTTGCATTTAGACTTTTTTTTCATCAAATGAAAAGGAAATTTCCTGAAAATCAATGTAATGAGGGAAGATGGCATTAAGCTTCACGTTAAAAACTTCACTTTGATCAATTATTATTCTGAAGATCTTCAACTGTTAAAAAAATAACGTCTCTAAGATATTGTCACAATAAGGCTGGTTCATCAGATATTATCTTGTGAATTATTCACAAGATCATCAGCTGATCGAACATTTCAATGAAATCCTCTGGTTAATTTTTCATGAATTCAGTTTGATAAAGATGAAGATATAAAGATCTTAAGTCAAGCAGTACTTAAGTGATCTTCAGCTGATTGAAGATTTCAATAATGTCTTCTGGATATTTTGTCAATACTGCAACCACATTATGTCCAAAGGCGACTTTTATATAAAGTGAAGGTACCTAAAATTTAATTCCGAGCGATCATAGTTTGGGACCTCTCGTTTCATAATGTACGTATGTATGTAAGGTAGCCACCATCCCTTCAAAGATTTTGTCTTGTATGCAGCTCCACTTAATATCAAGATCAATTTCTGATCGGTAACTGAATTCACAATATCGCTGTATGAAGGGCCAAAAACGGAGTGGTGGACCCGTAAGCAGGGCCACTTACGCGAAATCCACGGGAATTTAAGAATCTCCTTCCAACGATACGATCCAACAAATCGAATAACGCAATTCGCAATACTTATTAAGCTTCCTACTGGATGGTTTGTTAAGAAGGGTGCGTCAATCTCCCTGAAACTGTTGAAGAAGAATTCACACCATCACAATCGAATCGGTAGGATAAAGAAAATGATAGTGTTTATTCCCTCCTAGACTCCGGTTGTCATACCACTCCAATCGTCCAGTTCCAGGTCAAATGATGCTCCCTCCCAACCCAGTATTTATTTATTTGTAGGAAATATATGTAATGAAGAAATGAAATATATCAGAACATTAAAATACGTAATAATGAAAGTACATTTATATAGATAAAAAAAAACTGGTATTCTGCAATGAAAATAATGATTATTTTACATACAATATGATGCAGCTATATGTCTCCTCAGCTCCCAATATAAAGAAGATGTAACCCTGATATTTCCATGTTATATTATACAAATAAATATTTTTAGCTCGCATGATACTTGATATTTTTGTGATGTGTTATGTTGTGGAAGAGCTTGGGATTAAACCCATGATATTCTGCTCATTAAGCAAAACCTCCCTCTAGGGTTACCGAGCATCTCAAAAACACAACACTCCACGGAAAAACATGATTAAGCCCTCACTTGATATGTAATGAACAACAGAAATACGCGACAATTCATATAGTTTCAGCGGCTGATGGTTAACCTTAAATATACTAACGGTACTGCCTACGGCGACTATGACGGTGATTACGACGGCGATTACGACAGCGACTACGACGACGGCAACAGCCAAGTTGTAACTTACCATTTGTCCAGGATGCAACACCCATGTCTTCGGAAGTCTTCTTCAGTTTCAACTTGTCTTTAAAAATCTTCACAAAACATGAAATGTCTTCACAATGTTTGCAATAAAAAATGTCTTCACAAAATCAAGGCATGTCTTCAAATCTGGTATATTTGCTCAAAATGTTTCAGTTAACACCACCAATGCAGTTTGATCTCCACATACTGACTGCTTTTCCAGAACAAATTCCACTGAAATGCTCATACCTCGGTTGTATATGGACCGATTTAAGATCTTCAACCTGTAGTAGTACCTGTAGTAATGAAACCTAGTTTTTATGAAAAACATATCATTTCATGTTTTCAACCTTAAACCCTAAAATTATCAGCGGCAGAAAATTGCACAATTGACATAATCTTGAAACATCTGGAACATTTCCGGTGTCCGATAACTAATGCAAATTTTCGGGCCAACATATTAAAACTTAAATAATGTCCCCGTCTATTGCTTCCAGGTACATTGAAAGCGGTTTATTATTCACGGAACTTTGATTTTGCCCAATGCTATTAATTATTTTTAGTTTGGTTTCGTCTTACTAGTACCAATTTTAAGAACAGAAATAGCGCAAGTTCGACATGATAGAAAAAAGTTTGACTAGCCATTGATTTTGTGGTACTTTCACTTCTGGTAAAGGTGAACGCAGAGCACATGATGTAGGTCACTTCTCCCCTCAATGCAAATGAACGTAGCTCTCTCTTAATTTATTTGTGGACGACCTTTCAGTTCCGTAAAATCACTCCTAGCAACAAAAGACGTCAAGGATATGGATAAACACTTTGTTTAACTAGTTGTATTTTTATGACTACATATCAAAGCAAAGTTCATCGCAATGCATCATATGCGCAGATGTATTTGATGGTAGTCATCGTATTGAACTGGAATTGTATTGAGCAGGTCAGTAATCGAACTCGTAGGTAAGTAAATTTTGCCGAATGTACTTCATACCGCTATTGTATGTGGTCAGCAATTAATCAAGTCATACGAGCGCTGCAATACTGTTTTGTTGTGGCACATTTATTGTGGCTTGAAGTTACCTTCAGGTGCCATAGAATTGCTGATATTAGTATGGTTGTAAATGAGTTTATTGGTGTTAACTTCATGAATGATTTAGATTGGTTAATGAATTCAAAATAAAAAAAAATGTTGTTGAAATAGATGGCTATATAAAATAAAACATGAATCATCGGATCTTTCCTCAGATGGGTTGTCAGGATAAGAGCAGCTTTAGATTGAATTCTCCATTTATGAGACTGCATGAAGAACTTATCTCGTTGGCACAGGAAAATTATAGATAAGTTGCTTCAATCCTCGGTTTTGGCGGTTGGCCAAATTGAATTATACGTATAAAATGTAATTCCGAAATGCGAATCACTGAACCTTTAGTTTGGAGAAGTGAAGTCCGCATCAGCCCACAGCGAATTTTGCCCGCTCTTTGTGTGTTTTGTTTAAGTTACTTTGGTGGGAGTCAACTTCGAGCATGAGCAGTTCGATAGACATTTATGTGATATCAGCTGTTTGTTAGTGTTACATGGGCAGTTTGGCGGACACACGAGTTGAGTGTTGTTTTACCGAAACCAGAGTTTCTGTGCACTGAATCTCTCCCGTTTTCGCCGTAAGATAGATCATATGTAGATAGATTTGCATGTGGTATTCTCACTCTCTCAGCGATCCGCCGATCGTATCGTATCCGCTAGCAGCAGTGGTAGCGGTGTACTTGAAGTTAATCTTCGTCACGTCAAAAGCTTCAGTTTGATTCGAGCAGTTCTATCAAGCAGGTCGAAAGCGATCGGCCTATTAGTAAAGGCTGTGAAGTCAAGAGTGTACGTAGAACCAGCAGACAGTGTTTCATATAGTCTTTGGCCAACCACGCGTATGTGCACTCCGTTCGAACTAGTATCAAGTTTCCAATATCAAGTGCATATTTTTGCATAATTATCGACTGAAATGAGCACAAGATCGCGTTGAACGTCTCTTTGTGTTGCACGGAAGCAGCACGCAATAATTAGAACAAACGAATTACTCATTGCTTGTGCAAAGTGAAGGAAAAGGACCTAAATACGACTTTGAAAATGAAAATAAAAGTTTTTATTTGAGGAGCTTCTTTGTGCTGATGTGAGAGGTTTCCTAACGTGTAGGGGAGCGAAGTCTGCTCAGTTGCGGTTGATTTTAGTGAGAAAAAGATTCGGGAAAACACACATTGAGAGGAGGAAAAATCTAGTGAAAAGTGTTTGGTGTGTGCGAGATTTTTCCACTAGTAACGTTGTTAAAAACAGAAAATTGTTGTTAATAAGAGTTGTGCGGCGGAAGGAAGAACATATTAATTTTAGTTTGCTCTAATTATCTCTGCCGCCTAGACTGTGTTGTTGTTACTGTTACTGTACACAGAGAAAACAATTTTACATGTAGTGCGGCAAAACATTGGAGCACGAAGCCATATAGTATATTCATTACGAAACGCAGTTCACGGTGGTATACTTCGGGATTGGTTACGTGCTGGTTCTATCTTCGACAAACTTCGTCACATAATAGCATCACTCACACGAAAATCTAAAACAGCTGTTTAACTTTGCCAAACTATGCACATCGGAGAACGTATCGAGGAAAATTCAAACAAACTGTCATACAAAATTGAAATAAACTAAGGTGATACTACGCTTTTTCTGTGACAGGCATTAAGGCCTTGAATTTAAAATGAATGACCTTAAAAAAGACAAGCGTAACTTTTGCGCGTTTTGCATTTAGCTTTTAATACGTGCCTGTCCGCATTATCGTTGCTCACCGGCCTATAAAACTGCAGAAAAAAAAAATAGTATGATAAGGCCACTCGTTACCGTTGTGGTTGTACTGCGGGTTCATTTTGATACAGACAATTAATCAGTACCTAGGTTGGTGCAAGGTGTGGTGAATGAGTGAATGAGCTCAACCGTCTATATTCCCTTCGTTCGATTTACGATGGTATTGGAATACCGGGTACAGCTCAAAACAGTCGAGTGTTTGTGGTTATCGATGAAACGAAATAACTGGGAAGGTTGCACGAGAAAATGACTTTTACAATTGTGATGTTTTTTTTTTAAATTGGGAATATTTGAATTTATGGTAATACAATCCACTATCCTGACTATGTTTGGCTACTCTGGCCGAATAGAGATATGTTTAGCTTGCATCTGAAACAACAAACTCGACATAAACTGCATTTGCAGCTACTCTAAAGAGAAAAAAAATAAAATCACAGATAGGCCCTTTTATTGTATTATACAGAGTTTATCTAGCGCAAAACGCTGTACAAACAAAACAGTTACATATATAACTCGATATAACGTAACTGTCACTTTTCACTTGCATCGTTGATTTCTTGCAAACAACCATTCAAACGCGCATAGTAACACCAACAGCGGATGTTCAAGGTGGTCCAAGCAGTGAAAGACGTGATCGTGTGGAATTACACTAAAACCTTTCATTTTAGGTACATAGTGTCTTGGGAAAAGTTTGTAGACATGCAAATCCTCATCTTTTGACTGTACCCATTGTTTGATTAATCCCCATAATATATCAAGGCGATTATTTAATAGGATCATATTTGTGTTCTCTCCTTAAAACAGCAGTGTTTTGCAGTGTTCTCATTAAACTTTCGAATATTAGTTGACTAGTCTGCCGCCATAAATTAGCTGGAGATACAAAGAACAGTGAATGACTGTCTTCTACAAAAAAATGTGTTTTAACAAGCTAAAGAACACTTCTTCATAGCTCTTTTGTGAAAATAGATATAGAGTTAGTGTCTTCAGCAAAGTTGTTTGTATTGTCATTTACTGCAACTTAGCAGAACACACCAACTCTGTATCGCAATTTACTATAAATATAATTTTGAATCTAACTTTTAAGGGGATTTATCAACCTTTGCATTAAAGGTTTTGGTTGAATTTCAAATGATCACGTTTTTTAACTCCACTGTGAACAACGGTTGTACGGGAAACTAAATTTTCTCCATGACGCGTGTAGAGTAGTTTAAGTATTGTCGTTGATCCTATAGGGATTTATTCTGTGTTATGTAAACAAAGTGTTAAAGTTTGCTTATACATTTCAATCAATGGCATTGTCAAGCTGAATTTAGGGGCTTGAATTGCTAAGGGCACTTGTCATAAAACATATATGTAGCGCTTAGAATAGGGCCTAACTCTTTCTCGTTTCTCTTTTGTTAATAATCGCCTAGTCGAGTGACTAGATAAACATTTCTCTGTGCGTTTGTTGATACTTTTGATAGGTAATACAACCTGTTAAAGCACTATTTTTATATTCAACCCGCAAAATGAAAAAGGACCCAGGTAACATTAGGTTGCTTCACACTAGCTTTGGTTCTAGTAGCCAAAATTTTGTCAAAATTGAATATGCTGTTGCTATTACAACAAGTAACAAGCCTGTCACAGTCAATTCTGTTTTTACACGATTTTTTTTCCATGATTTGTTTTCCGTTGATCTTCTTTTCCGTACTGAGTACCAATGCTACCGACGCCAGGGAGACAGCTCCCACACCTGGACCCTACTAATTTATTTCCCTTCTGAAGAAAGGCCAGATTAGAGATTTTATGCCTCCGAAAATCCCGGCGACGCCGACTGGGAATGAACCAAGGCCCTTTGGGATGTTTGTACACAATTATCATTACAGCATTTTCAATACCACCATATTTTTCTTTGATTGTGTTCTGCTTTTTTGAAACAAGTTGCACTAAATTTGGTTGCAATACGCTAAAAAATACGATTGAAATAATCATCATCACCGCATTGGGCATTTTTTTTTAAATTTATATTTTTCTTTAAATGGTACCAAACTAAACGTAGCAACGACAAATAACACAGTATCATAGTCTTTACATAGGGTGGAGAAACACTTCCGTTATACGCCGAAAAACAATGAAGATAATCAGCTATATCCAACATTTATGCATTAAATTCTTTGCTCACGAGTTAAGTTACGACTACAGTTGAATAAAAACTATGGTGATGACGAATTATCGATTTAAAAGGGGTATGCCAAAGTGAAGTGGAGTATGACGAAGTAGTGCCACACCCTATTACATTTTAACATCAGTTGGGCAACTAGAACCTACGATAGAGCGATGTTAGTGAAATATCAAAATATCCCATGAAACCCATAAACCTCCCTTGAAACCGTTTGCACGACCCCTAAACCATCATCAATCTTTACGATTTTTGCATAGCCTCATATTTTAAGGTTATGAATCGAATTGGATGGCGGCGATTCAAGTATGACGTTTTAATTTTCTTACAAGTTTTTTGATATTTAACCAACATTGCTACGACGTCACCCCGAGGAGTTACTAATTTGGCCCCAGCAAGATTGCATTTCAAGAACAACATGTGAAAGGGGCATACAAGCTTTTTGTAAACAAACCTTCTTATGCCCTTTTCTCGCCACCCATATGACACCAACGCAAACCATTATCATCATCGGGTAGGGGAATGTTTACCCTTCCCGATGATGTTGTTGGTTTGCGTAAGCAACTCTCGGTTGGTGAGAAAAGGGCCTACAAAGGTTTGTTTACAAAAAGCTTGTATGCCCTTTTCACATGTGGCTCTTGATTTAATGATGGCATCTCTTAGCCGTCTTTCTCCCCACGATCATGTTAAGACCTTTCCAGTTATTTTAGACAAACGGTTCAACATAAGTTTGATTTCCAGCTCAGTCTAGGAACTTTTCGTGTTGGAAATTCTCACTACTTTCCTGGGCACAGGACTATCATTGTTTGTTCTTACCACACAATATACAAATCAAGTGCAACTTTTCAAATCGACGCATCTACTGTTGTATACTTTATCATACATACATATACATTTGTCGCCCACGCAAACAAACATCATCATCAGGTAGGGTAAATTTCCTCCTATCTTCTACAATGTTATACAAATGCAAAAATGTTGTATAGGCTGAGAGAGCTCTCTTTACGATCAACTGCGGAAGATGAAGAAAACTCATTTTAATACCAAAATTTTTGGTCTTATTTAACTCACCATCTAAGACTGAATCTCATAAGAATTCATAAATTAGGTGGGGGGGGGGGGGGGGCGGAGTAAGATGGTCACCCCAAGCTTAAAACACAATTTAACAAAATCTAAACAAAATTTCAGCAATAACATGAATCAATATTGATTTTAAGAGTATTTTTGATGACTCAATTGATTTTCAGAAAATTTTATTTTCATTTGATGATGTTTTATTATGAATAAAAAACAGTTTAAATAATGCAAGAATGGAATGGAGGGTGGTCACTAAATTAATTAATTTTCGTTTCTCAGTGCTTAAACGGTTCTAAATCGGTTCCTGATTGGCTTTTCTAAATTTGATCTAGTTTAGTTAGAAACTAATCATGAACAAACCATTTGAAGTTTGAGTGGGATTAACTATGGGAAATCCAAACTTTTCGTTCATTGCCGTCAACCCCTTTTCTGTATTGCCATGAGAGAAAGTTCTATAGCAATTCTTGGGTGCAATTTTCTCTGCTACAACTTTTCTAAATATTGTTTTTTAGTCAAACGTCAAATTAAATAGATCTTAATTATTTAAAAGATTGGTCATTTTATGTATGCCAAAATAAAGCAGCTGCATTCTGGGCAACACATGATTTTTGTGTTTTTGTTGATTGAGCATGATCTTTTGTTCCTTACATTTCATTGAAAAGCGGCCTTGAGCAAGTTGTAGCTGAGTAAATTATTTGTTAACGATAAATATGGTGAATTGTGAGAAAGATATTAACAAAAAGTATGATTTTCCTACAGTAGATCCCTTATAAATTTCAAACGTTTTGTGCAGTTTTGTCAGTTTTTAACCAAATTTTAAGGGGATGATCGGGATCCGATTTGAAACCGTTTGAGCATTATGGAGTAAATTACAAATTTGCATCATTCTCGTTGTCACCTCTAGGGTTAAGACGGTCTTATGGAATATCTCATGCTGTAGGCCATATAGAAGGTTATTATCTTTGGCAAAGTTTTACAGTGGTTCAACGCCTTTTGGATAGAGGACATCAGTTCAGAATTGACTCACTACGTGGAGCTAATGTGCATGTCAATTTCCTGTATAAGCTATATCTTGACCATCTAAGAATT